GAGACCCTGCTTGCGTCGCGCAGACTGGGGACACGCACTGTGCCAAGAGAACCGCGGGCCGGAGTCCATGGGGAACCCAGACGGGGCTGGATGCTGCTGACATCTTCAGAAAGACCGACTCAAAAACCTGAAAGACAAAGCTGCATTGTGCGAGGGCTCCTCTTACAGACGAGGAGCGGGTTTTGGAAGCAGGGGAGGAGTCTGCACACTCAGAGACACGCACCAAAGGAGCTAACTATTGGGAGCCCTCTCTGACTGCCTGGCTCTGTCGGGGTCTCGGGCAGCAGCAGCCACCTGCTCCGTCCAGCTGTATAGAGGTCTTGGCTTGTGTGCGGGGAGACAGGCGAGCCCAGCCCCCACTATGATGCAGTCTCTTTGGGGATGCACCCCTTCCTCTTCAGAGCCATGCCCCATGGCTTTGCCCTGCTCCACTGAGATGGGGTCTCTGGTTGGGACACACCTCCTTCTTGCTGTGGCTTCTCCGGTTGAGTTCACAAAATCTTAAGTCCCATGGTGGAGCCCTATCACTCTTGCCAGCGAGGCAGCATGGGACAGCTGCTTCAAAAGAAGCCAGCCCTAGTAGCCGAAGGGACACCATCAGTCTTCTGCTGCATCTCAGGCGACTCCATTCATAGCAAGGGATGCGACTGACCCCTGGTCCCCGACCCAGGAAAGACACTAACCTCTTCAGTCCCAGGAGGCAACAACACAAAAGCAAGAGGGAAAACAGGCACGCTTTCCACACAAATGATGCAAAAACATCATCCTGTTCTCCGCAGGACCCTCTCACTGCCCGTGTTATATTAAGATACATGGCAGGCTACACGTGAGCACCCCTGGCATTCGCTCTGCATAGGTAATTCCCCTGGCAGAAGGAAGTGTTTTCAGTAACCGAGCGTCAGCGGTACAATCCTAACGAGCTTTTAAAATAACAAATACGGGCAATATTTCAAAAGGGACTTCATCACGGCAGGTTCTGCAGGTTTCCTCAAAGCAACGGATAAAGTCACTGACTTCTATCCCGGGGAAGATCTTAGAAAAGTTTATCAAAGAGGCCATCCTTAATGGACTGGCCGACGCCAACATCTTAAGGGATAGCCAGCACGGGTTTGTTGCGGGTAGGTCTTGCTTGACCAATCTCATTTCCTTCTACGACCAGGTGACCTATCACCTGGACAAGGGAGAAGAGATTGATGTCATATATCTTGACTTCAAAAAAGCCTTCGATCTGGTGTCCCATGATCGCCTCTTGGAGAAACTGGCCAATTGTCGCCTTGGGTCCTCCACGATCCGCTGGCTGGAAAATTGGCTCCGGGGCCGGACCCAGAGGGTGGTAATCGATGGAAGTCACTCATCGTGGTGTCCTGTGACCAGTGGGGTCCCCCAAGGCTCTGTCCTTGGACCCATACTGTTCAACATCTTCATTAATGATGTGGACACTGGAGTCAAAAGCGGACTGGCCAAGTTCGCCGATGACACCAAACTTTGGGGCAAAGCGTCCACACCAGAGGACAGGCGGGTGATCCAGGCTGACCTGGACAGGCTCAGCAAGTGGGCGGACGAGAATCTGATGGTGTTCAACGCCGATAAATGCAAGGTTCTCCACCTTGGGAAAAAAAACCCGCAGCATCCTTATAGGCGCTAGTAAAGCGACCAAAACGCTGGCTTGCATCCATCGATGCTTCTCAAGCAAATCCCGGGATGTCATTCTCCCCCTGTACTCGGCCTTAGTGAGGCCGCAGCTGGAGTACTGCGTCCAGTTTTGGGCTCCACAATTCAAAAAGGATGTGGAGAAGCTTGAGAGAGTCCAGAGAAGAGCCACGCGCATGATCAGAGGTCAGGGAAGCAGACCCTACGATGACAGGCTGAGAGCCCTGGGGCTCTTTAGCCTGGAAAAGCGCAGGCTCAGGGGTGATCTGATGGCCACCTACAAGTTTATCAGGGGGGACCACCAGCATCTGGGGCAACGTTTGTTCACCAGAGCGCCCCAAGGGATGACGACGAGGTCGAATGGTCACAAACTACTTCAAGACCGTTTCAGGCTGGACATAAGGAAGAACTTCTTTCCTGTCCGAGCCCCCAAGGTCTGGAACAGCCTGCCGCCGGGGGTGGTTCAAGCACCTTCATTGAACACCTTCAAGAGCAAACTGGATGCTCATCTTGCTGGGATCCTATGACCCCAGCTGACTTCCTGCCCTTCGGGCGGGGGGCTGGACTCGATGATCTTCCGAGGTCCCTTCCAGCCCTGATGTCTATGAAGTCTATGAAGTCCCTCATTAGCACGGCAACAAAATCACCTTCTGGACACACGCAAGTGGCTCTCGCCAGCACGTCTGCTCATCTGGGCGGGAAGGAATTGCTCTGCTCCCCGGTACGCTGCCATGCCCGTCTGTTCAGCCCCCCGGACTCTACCCACTGCACGTGCCTTTGGGAAGTGCTTGGGAGGCAGTGAGCACCCGCAGGCCAAGGGGCACGGAGGCTATAATTCTTCCTCAGATATGCAGTTGTTTTTCTCTTCTGCCTGGACATAGGGGTGCAGAAATTCATCAGAGACCTTGAAAGAGAAAGCCTGCTTGCTTTGAATGCCGACACCAACAGGGCTTCTAAGAATAGACTCCAAAGGGAGACGCAAGACAAGCGACATGATAAGAATGCAGCGCCTTCCCTCGCTGTGCAAGGCTCTCGAAATTTCAAAAATAAAATATTATGCGGCACGAACAATAGAGAGGCCCAGCCGGGCGCGCTGCGGACCTTGGGAGGACGGCGCTGTTACGTAACGCGTGTCAGGGACGCGGTTAGTAGATACCGTTCCTCCCCTTGGGAGCTCTTCTTCTGGAGGAGTCATTAACACACCGGCAGGATAACAGACCCGGCTCTCTAATGCTCTAGGTCAGAAGCAAATTAAGATGAGGAAGCTGATTTGCCATCAATCTACATTAGGCACGGTTGACCAATCCACCCATTTGATACTCGCTCCTGTTATGCATAAATGGAAGGGTTTATGACGGGTAGGGCTTGAAATATAAAACCTCTGTCAGTTTTACCCAGCAACATCTCTTCTCATTTGTTGGCTGAAAGAGGGAAAGTTTTAGAGCTTGCATCAGGAAGCGTACCAGCATGCCGGCACCAGAGCAGCCAGGCAGAGGAACAGACAGGCTGGGGTCACTCATTCCAGCACACAAAGCATCAGTGGCTCTTTCTAAAGCAAGGTGCCCAGCTCGGTACTGCACCAGCGGGTTAATTACGCCGGCGAGCCTCCCCGCGTCGCAAGCCCTAAGAAGAGGCATGTGTCCACGCTGCCCAGGCAGCCGAGAAGCAGCGGGACCACCTCGGAAACGGCTCGGTCAGCTCTGCCGCAGAACTGGAAGTGGTTTGAAGTAACTGTCAGAGGCAGTGCAGGGCGGGAGGGCCACGAATCACCGGGAGCTGCCTGTCTGGAGGAGTCCCAGAATGGCGCTCGCCACAGCCGGCGCTGGAGGGGAGGGCGGAGCGGCCTCCCCCGTGGGGTGAAGAGGCACTCGAGCCAGCGGATGCTCAGGGGCAGCAGGGAGCGGGGCGCAGAGAGATGCTGCGGCTACAAGGAAGCAACAAGGATGCTGCTTGCAGGAGGAGGGACAACGAGGCTCCTCGCGCAGTTACAGAGAGATGGAGAGGCCCGAGCTTCTGCCCACGAGCTGCTCCTGGATCCCAGCTCCTCTCCTGCCCAGCCTCAACACGCAGACGAAGGATGCAGCAAAGTGGACCGGCGTTGCTGTTGGCTGCGGGGGGGGAGGGATGTTGCGAGATGCCCACCCCAAAAGCACCAGCTGCCCAGCTCTTAATCTGGTGCGGAGGGGAGGCCCCACAGCATCCGAACCAAGGCCCCTTATGGCCTGAATGGCCCATGCCAGGCTCTCGCACAGGTTAGGCCTACAGCTGCCGCCACCAGGTAAGAGGTGCTGCTCACATAGTCTCAGCCACGAGATTGTACCACCTCTGCATTCAAAGCCAAAGGGATTTAGATGCAATAGCTCCTAGCTGCCTGTCAAAGACTCTCCTCGGCTTTGCAAGCCTGGGCCGCGGGCATTAGCTCTGGAGGTCCTGGCGCCAACCTGCCAGAGGGGGTCTGTGTGTCACGTGCGATGGGAGCAGCTGGGAACGGCTGCCGCAGGATCACAAGTTGAGGGCAGCACCTTGCTGCGAACGCGAATCAGAGAAGGAAAGAAGGCATTGGCTCCCACATCCCTGACCTGAAGCAGCAAGATCACAGCCGTGAGCAAACCCTCAAGCGGAGAAAACGTGGCGTGTGGTGGTAGGAGCAGCTCCACGGCTCAGCACAGCCCCGTGCTCCCTTGCTCTGTACAGCCGGGCGGGGGGAGGCTGCTCTCCCAGCCAGGCAGACATTTCTTGACATGAGGTGCCAAGCCATCGTGCTCTGGGGCCGTGAGGAAGAACATGCAAGGAAGGTAATGCGAATGCCACGTGTCTGGGCCACGCTGCCTCACTGCCTGCCCCCAGGGGGAGCGTTTCCCTTCCTCCATCCCCGGATCTCGGCTTGCAGCTGCCGAGGCAGCTGCAGACACAGTCGCTCTCTGGGAAACCTCCCGAATCATGTTTGCGAGGAACAATACTCCGCCCTGCACAACACACCATTGCAAATGCTCCTTTTCATCTCAGCTTCAGCAACAACTACCTCCCCGTCCAATTACTTGCCTTACAACTGCCATCACAACATTACACTCCTAAGCAGCAGAGCGCTTTGAAGGACTAAGCTACTTGAAAGCGGACACGATTTAGACGAGCAGTGCTTCCTTTCCAGTCCCCGGCATTATCAAAGTCACCGATGCATAATCAGCTGGGTTTAACGCAGGCTCCAAGCACGCAGACTAGTTAGCTCTTGGAAGGCCCCATCCACAGGGCTGCTCTTTTTTTTAATGCTGATCATTACATGCATGCGCAAGGATGCCGAATACCTGCAGCACATTGCCCTGCTCTGATCCAACAGGCTTGGGCTGGCTGGAGAAACACCCTGCACCCTGCTCCCAAGAGTCAGCCCTTCTCCCTCAGATCTCAGTGCCTTGTGCTTGCAGGACAAGCCACACTCAGGACATTTTCCATGTGTTTTATTGACTAAGAGATGCTGGAATAGCCCCGTCCCTGGAAACACCCAAGCCTCAGGTAGGAGCTACTGTTCTGCGGCTCCAGGGTTTGCAGAGCCCGGGAAGGTGCAAATGCATCCCTGTGGCCCTCCAGATCATGGCGGTGGTGCCGACAAAGCCCCTTCCCGTGTGCGGTTGGAACCAGCCTGCTCAGTTGCATCACGGTCTTCAGGAGGGAAGGATCGCTGCTGGCGACGGCCCCCAGACAGATGCATCGGCCTGTCACTTCTGTGAGGCAGAAGCCAGTCTGTTCACACTGGGACTGTAAAATGTCACTCACCCACGGGGGCACGCGAGCGCACTTCGTCCCGATCCAGCGAGGCAGCCGGGCTCGTCACACGATTCTTCCAAGGGGCTCAGGGGGCCTCACTGCTTCACTTCACAGCCGCTGGAGAAAAGCCTCGCTTTACAGGGGCTGGCTTTGGGATGGCAAGGCCTGTTTGAAATCAGAGGGCGGCTGCCACAACAGCACATTGCCGGTGCTCTTTCAGCTCGCTCTGCACTTGAGAGGCCTTCTGGTGTGATCTGAAAGTTTATCGAAGACTCGGGTCAGTAAAAATCAGCTATAAAAAACACAAGTGTGGAAACATCAATACACCTGATTACTGCATGTACTTGTGCTGAATAGGAAGCTCCCCAGTGAGCAGAGGCAGACGCACTAGCAGAAGAGGATGCGTTTCTGGAGCAGGGAAGCAGAGGAAGCTGTGTTGCAGCCAAGAACAGAAGGCTCTGGAGGTTTTCTGCGAGGCAAGAAAACACCACAAGCCCACCCACTTTCCAGCAGCGCTCCCACCCCAAACAGCAGCACAGTCCTTTACCTGCCATAGCCACTGTCACCTTTACCCAGCAAACAGCCTGACAGCCATCCGCACTGATCACCTGCAGCTCTCTCCTGCATCATCTTGAGCAACCCTCGCTGCTAACAGCTGGTTCAGGAGCAGCTTGCAGGGCAAAGGTAGTGCTCCACCTCTGAGCTTTTTGACTGGAAGCAAGTCGCATAAAATGATTTTGCTGGTATCTGACTGGAGGTGCACAGGTCTTTATACTCAAGTTTCTATTGCTAGTACCCACACCTGCTTCATCAGAGCCACCTACAAATACCTTGGACCTGAAAACAAACTCCTTGGGGACTGACAGGGCGAGATGTGCACAGAGGAGCATGAAGGCTGTCAGAGCCTGTTAAAGCCAGGCAGGAACACGCACCATTTTATGTTGAGCGTGTGCCCCTGGGTGTGTTGATTCAACCTTCCCTTGTCTCCTCTCAGCACTGTGACCCGGGCCCCAGCGGTCACGCAGCTACCTCCCCACCCATGCTGGGGCTTGCTTGGGCGGCGCAGAAGCCCAGGAGCGTGGCTGAACCCAGCCCAAAATCAGGAGGGTCAGAGGCATGTCAGAGGAAGAGGAACAAGGGAACAAGTTGCTCAGGAGAGGACCAGAGTACAGCTTCTTGCACCCTCTGTGGAGGGCAGGGACCCACCACCGCATACAACCGAAACCATTGCGCTTCTACTCGCTTGCTTCAATGACGAGGCCGCACGGCAGCTCCTGCCTGCTCTGTTTCACCGCCCCAGGGCCGCGATGCAGGCCAGCCCATAGAAAGCAGCACGTTTCGGTTCACAACTCTGCCCACAGGACACATGCGGCTTTTGCAGCTGACAGCCGTGCCATCCCAGGGGAGGGAGCATGAAGCAGGGGACACGGGCAGGATCGAGATGTGGCCCAGAACAGCCAGACTCCTGGATTCAGAGGCTCCCCAAAGCTGCTGCCTCAGTCTCCCATCCTGGGGGCCTCACCTGGGACTTCCCGCCATCTCCGCCCTGCTCTGCTTCCCAGGCAGAGCAGCTGGTCTCGATGACACGCTTGAGGACCTCTCCGAGACACTTGCTCCTGCAGGGAAGTCCCAGGGGCCTATGGAAAGTGGAGCAGTTTAGGCAAATGAGGAGCAAATATTCTCTAGCCATCACCTGTGCAGCTGAGTCTAACTGGGCTGCCGCTGGCGCTGGCTGCACTGATCACCTGCTTTGCCTCCGACACGGGCCAGCTGCAGAGCGGGCCGGGTGGCAGGGTGCCCATGTCCTTCTCTGCCCCACTCGGCTTCATAAGGCAGTGGCGTGATCTGTCCCAGAAGCAAAGACGCAGGCCGAGGGGAGCGAACCAGACGCAGGGGCTGGGGGGAAGACTCCCCTCCCAGGGCCTCCCTCTCCCAAAGGCCGGTCCCGTATTAGAAGATCCCTCAAAAGCAAAAGCCTTTATGGGCTTGCATCCGCAGAGGGAGAGAGTGGGGCACTCGGACGGCAACCCTGCCAGGCCCAGCAATGGCTCTGGATGCGAGAGCCCCGTCTTAACTTGGGTGCCCTTGAGATGTTTTTCTGGGCAGTTCTGGCAGGGGAACGCAGGCAGATCCAGCTGACACGGTGCCTTGCAAGCCCATGGGGCACCGATCAGAAAGGGAAGGGCAATCTGTGCTGCACCCCCTGCCCCCGAGACACAGGGAGAGCTCCCGTGGCAGCGTGGGACGGGCTCAGCCCTGCCAACAGCCTCTGTGCAGCGCAGACGCAACGCTCAGGACCCGCGTACATGGTGACCGGGAAGCACAAGCGGAAGGCAACTAGGCACCACGGTACCCCGAATGCACATTTCTGCCTGGCCTGGTCCCTAATTAGATATTACTGCACTAGCCTAAATGGGTAGGCATTAAGTTTAACTCCTGAAGCAAGGTGCAATTAGTTGGGCATAAAAGAACACTGAAGGGATACTAATTACATTCTGAAGGATGAATAGAACCGAGTCAGAGGAGCAGAAAATTACCTTTGTGGGAAATCAGCTTAACAGTCCACACTGACGCAGCAGCCGCTGCACGGATACTGCGCCTCCCCTTTTCCTGGCTGCACAGGCCCCAGGTCGGGGTGCGAGCGAGGGCTGCAGCAGCTGTTGCGCCTCACTCGCGTCATGCTGCAGCTGTCTGCAGGGTGGCTCCTTCAGCCGCGTCCCGGCGCTTCGCTGCATGGCCCGAGCGGAGCGGAGAGGGCTGCTAGCTGCTTTGCAGGCTCGGTCTTAGAGCAGGGTTTTCCCGGCTTCTGGAGAGGCAAAGCAGGCAGCTGGTTTAGCTGAGAGCCCAGATGGGTGGAGGGGTGTTGCTTGTAGCCATGGGGGTCGAAGGACGTAGGCAGACAAGCGATCCTTCCTCTGCCTGAAGCAGGGCGTTTGTACCCAAAAGCTTGCAAATAAGTATTTTTCCAATTATTTCAGTTGGTCTAATAAAATATATCAGATTTACCCAAAGAACCCTGTCTGCCAGATGGGTGGAGGCATGTGAGACACTCCCCAGCACACACAACCACACAGATGCGCTTGTGCCCCAGTGTGTGAGAGATCACTTTGTTCCAGCCTGACCTAGGCTGTGCCAAGGGGAGGGAGGCAGGCAGGCAGGCAGTCGCGGTCTCGGGCAGGAGACTGTGCTGCTGCTCATGTCCAATTCACACGCACAGGGGAGCCTGCACCACAACCTGGGCTGGAAACATTAGCATCTCTCTCTGCCTTATGCCTGGGTGAGTCAGCTCAGAGCAGGTATCTTCCCTTGCCCTAGTGTTTGCTAGGAAAACCACTCCAAGATGGCAAGGAGTTGCTGGCTTGCATGCCTGCTGGCCAGAAGCAAAAAGCTCTCTGAACTCGCTGTGCTCAAGCAGAGGTCTGCAGAGGGCAAGTGCCTCGGGCACTGGTGGTAACAACTCCTTCCTTTCGTGTCTGTTGGAGAGAGGAGACGCCAGACTGTGCTGAACTCATCCTGAAGCTGCATCAAAGCCTGCACTCCAAGTCCTGCATGGGGAAAGCAAACCCCGGAGTGCATGGAAATCGCAGGAGCTGCTGCCCTGGGCAGGTGCAGCCCGCAAGCCGCCAGCAGGCCTGTTACAAGGCACAAGCATGCAGGACAATGGGCACAGCCCTGTCCAAACGCGGCTCGGGGCATGGGCTGGAAGAGCAGGCGCACAGGATGGGAGCCTGGCTCTCGAAGCTGCAGTCAGCCCTGGGCTGAGAGACGTCTTCCTGTCTCTACTGCCCACGGCTCCCTCGGCACAAGTGCTGAGCCATGTCTTCAACCCTTGATTTCTCACAGCCACAGCCGCAGGGGGCTGCAGAGCTACTGGGTGTCTTTGGCATCATCCCATCTCAGGCCTCATGTTGGTGAAGGACAGAGAGCAGTGCTTCCTCCCCACCTTAGCAAACGCATGCTGTGCAAATAGGATGCACGCCAGCTGCAGGCGAGGTCTGATCTCCACCTGCCAAAGGTGCAGCACAAGGGTCATTTGCTTTAGCATCATTATCCATGTGGGTGGGCAGTGGCCTCCCCACCACCCCTGTAGCTGTTCTGCAAGGACCTGGATGTGATACCTCTGCATCCACGGTTTCAGTCCGATCCGGGGTCTCTGCCGGGACTCCATCCTGAGACCAAACCCACGATTCACCTGCGTGCTCATCACACACAGGCTCAGCTTTCAGGCTCATTGCGGACAGAGGCCAGCCCAGCCGTGCAGCCATCGCCACTGCACAGGGGACACGCGGGGGCCTTGAGGTGTTTGTGTGATGAGTCTACTCTCACCGGTGACACAGGCCTGTCTCTAAAGGCCGAGCCCAGTGTCCTGCAACAAAGCCAGATGCCACGCAGCAGAGGCACAATGGTCACAACCTCGCTTCTCGGCAGGATGCGGATGCATCCAGCTAAGCCGATGATCCACGAGACACGCGAGGAGGAGCTGGCTGGAGGCGAGAACAAAAGGAAGAGGAACCCTGGGAGGAGTTGGAAAGAAACGCTGCCAGCCCCAAGCACAGCATGGCCAGTACAAGTCTCCCCACCTCGGCCCCAGAGGTGCAGGTCTGAAGCCTGGCTAGCTGCAGTTTGCAAACACCTCATCTCCCCTTTGGATGATTCCTGGAATCTTTCCAGGTTTTTAATTAGCCCGTAAGTATTCTCTACCCATTTAGCAATATTCAAGGAGTCTACCATGCTATTTTCGTGTCTTCCCAGTAAGCTTCCCGGTATTAGCTCATAGCACCTTCTTGATTGATAATTGCTTGCAATAGCAGCCGCCAATTCATCACAGACAAACCTCCCCTGATTACGGCCCACTTAGCGATGGAGTGGCAGTGCTCCTGGCAAGAGCCAGCCCCATGCTGCCAGGTTCCCCGGGAACGCAGGGGTCCAGAGCCCTGTGCCGGGGGGTCCGGTAGGTACAGGAGCATCTTCAGGCCTTAGAAGGATCAAGACCCAGGATGGCCAAGCAGCATCTCTGAAGCTGTAGGCTGCAGCTCTCCTGCTCCCTCCTCTCTCCAAGAGACTGTGCCCTCCTATCAAAGCCCCTCTCCGATTCACATTTATGGGGCAGCTCGGAGAAGGCAGCAGGGGGACTGAAGAGTAGGAAGGCAGTTTACAATGCAAACCTGGCTGCAACCTGCTCCCCACACAGCTGCTGCTGGCTACCTAGCAGCCCAGGCACACGAGCGACCGTGGCTCTGATGCATCCAGCAGAGGCCACGTGTGCCAGCCTGGGTGTATGCCAGATGGCAGCATCCACCCGACACCCAGCAAGGACTTGCCAGCAACAAGCCAGCACCACTCTGCCGGGCTGGGAGTGTCATTCTGGGCAGGACAGGCTCAGGCATGCCACACTCACGGCTCAGGGGTGTTTCCCCTTGCGTGCAGCATCCCCACATCCATGCCCAATCTAAACCCAGGCAGTTCAGGCCAGGAGCGGCATGCGAGCCAAGTGCTCCAGCAAGTCAGCTGATGGAGGCTTGCTGAAGCCCCCAGGCCCCATGCAAAGGGGTGCTGGCAGCCTCCAGCACAGCCTGCTGTCCTAGGCAAGGCCCACACACACATGCACTAAAGGATGCCGTCTGCCCTACGATGGAAGGAGGGGAAGCAAAGGTCTTCCTCAGGGCTGGGACTTGCCCAAGACCACGGGCAGGCTAGTGGTGGAGTCAGATGAGGATGCAGGCCTCCCAGGCCATGCTGTCCTGAGATTGCCCACTTGCCCCATCCACAGAGCTGCAGCAACACCGAAGCCTCCGGCTGGATCTCAGCCACGTCACGTGATGGTGCCAGCCCCCAGGCTCCCGTGGAGAGGGTTATAGGTGGGCCTCATGCATGAATTGCCTCTGCGTGTGGTGTGTAGGGATGGATGGATGGACAGCCATCACACAGACAGCCCATGTGCCAAAGACAGCGGCGGGGTTGGCAGAGGACACACGTGCCTGGCTGCCACCGGCTCAGGGGGAGGAAAGAGCAAGCTACGTCCAGCTTGGGATGAAGGGAAGATGGTGCTGAGAGCTGTGCAAGAGGCTGGGGCTGGGCATCCCCTTCCCTCCACCTCCACTGTCCAGGGCTGTTTGTCCCTTGCCCTAACCTATTACCCTGAGGCACAAGAGCAGCCTGAGGGAGGGGGTTCCCCGTTCCCAGCACCTACCAGCACGCTCACTTCAGCCGCTGCTAAAGCGCAGCCTGTACCGACTGCGTGTTTGATAAATTCCACCTCCCTCCGCAGAGCAGCCCAGAGACCGCGCCGGTGCCAGAGCGCGTGCAACGCGCTGCAACGTGTCGGCACTTCGCACGAGGGCGCTCAGCAGCGTGACGGTTCCAGCCCCTCCAGCAGCTCCTTCTGGCCCCCACAAATCCTGTTCCCCCTCTTGCCTCCCAGCATGGAAGCGGCAGCTGCCTTAGCAGGAGGCAAAGGAGCCTTCTTGACAGTTTACAACCATTCCAGGGCCAGACACTAGTGACAGGCAAGAGATGGGAAACCATGGATGTGGGGAGCGGGGAGCCGGCCCCATCAGCTCCAGGGGGGAGTGAAGGAAGGATGCTTGCAGGGCCCGGACCCTGGGCTGGGAACTGTATCAGCCTCCCCTCCCAGACATGGGCAGGAGCTCCCAGGCCGGGACTGGCATCCCCAGCAGCTCCAGCAGCTCTGGGAGAGCCAGCACGAGGCCCCGTCTATGGCCTGCCCTTGAAAACCGGTGGCACTGAAGGACCCGTCCTGCAACGGGTCCAGGACTGACACACACCCTGAGGCGCCCTAAAGGCACCAGCATGAGGCCAGGCGGTGGAGCAGACCCCTGCTCTCACCTCACCTCACCTCACCGCAGCGCAGGCAGGCAGGCAGGCAGGCGAGGACCTTCTGGCAGCCATGCCACCCTTGCTGTTGAGAGCAGGAAGCTGCTGCAAGCAGCAACCCAGCTCCTAACCATGCTGCTACAGCTGGGAGCAGCCCTGCAGCTGGCTGGCTCCCGCGTGTCGGGTCGGGTCAGGTCGGGTGGGTGACGCGCAAGTCGGTTCCCTTGCCAGCGCATTCATCATGGTTACTTGCTGGCTGAGGTAAGCCTGTGTCATCACCTCTGAGACGGTCTCTCCCAGCCAAGCTGCATTATTCACACGCTCAAGGTCACACAGAAGCATCTCACTGCACTGAATCCAACGGGACACCAAGCGCCCAGCGCAATCTCAACTATGAACACAAGCAAGGGCGTCTTGGCTGATTCACCTTGCGCAGCACCGGCTGCTGCTCCGCCCCGAGACTCCCAGGGGCAGGGATCGGGGGGACACATTGCCTGGCCCAGGTGCACACACTGTCCTTACGCACTGTTCCTTTGTGCCAGTGCCCCTGCGGCTCCGGGCACTTCCAAGGCCCGAGGGAAAAGGCTGGTGCCTGCCCTGCCTATGGGACAGGCGGAGACGGAAGAAGGCAGAAGAAAGGGCATTCCCCTACCAGCCCAAGAACACAGCCGGACCTCTGACGATTTCCCCCAAGAGACAGCCCCGCCATGCATCTGCAGGGGAGGGAAGCCCCCGTCTTGGCAGGCTGCCTCCTGGCAGTTCAGTCCTTGCATCGCTGGCAGGAGCCGGGATATGCCGCGTGGGTGTATGAACGCATACACCTACACCCCATGCTCAGGCTCAGTTGACCAAGCTTTCTTCCCCGTAGCCACTGCTGCAGGTCCCCGGGGCAGAAACACGGATCAAGCAGGTGCACTGACCCTCAGGCCTGCAGTTGCAGCAGCTTCCCGTGCTCCTGGGGAAAGAGCACATCTGGGTTAGCACAGCCATCAGCCCGGGCCTTTCCCAGTAGGACCTGGCAAGATACCAGCTGCCGTGACCCACAGATGCAGCTCCACACGGACTGGGCACAATGAACCCAACAGGGAGCAAGTGCCCACATTCCCCACCACCAGCCCCGGAGCAGCAAGGGCAGAAGGAGAAACAGCTGCAGTCCTGGGCTGCTCGGGGCTACCGGGAGATCTTCCAGTGCACGCGAGATGGAGCCATGCTTCAAGACCAAGACAGATTCCCCTGGGAGTGACCGCCTCACTTTTGGGGAAGACCCCCACCAGGAATAACCTGTCCTGCCTTTCTTGGCAGGGGGTGTCACGTCACCGACCCCATGCCCCCCACCCCCCCAGCGCCTGGAGCCCAGGGCCGAGCCTCCCAGGATAAAGAGCAGAGCCATGTTCTCCCATCGCCACGCCGCCCTATCAATAATACAGGCCGTTTCCCCAGACGGGACTGGGAGATGACGCAGCCGTTCGCGCTCTTCATCCACCGCTGACAGGCCAGGAAGGCGCTTTAATAAGATCGGCTCTGACACAAAACAACAACAACAACATTAAGGGAAGAATAATGGCCGAAGCAACTGTCAAAAACCTCATGTTCCTGAGCAGCCAGACAGAAATCAAAGCTGTCAGGCGTAAGCAGCAGCACGAAGCGCAGCCAGGAGGAAAGGCTGGGGCTGTGGGCAAGGCCAGGTAGCACCGAGCATGGGAAGGAGGAGATTGCTCCCTCCAGCGTGGCAGCACCCATGCCCCAGCCGTGGCAGAGACTCTCACTACGTGCCGTGGAAGTTGGGGATGAAGCATCTCCCTGATGAGCGTGAAGCCTAGCCCGGAAACTGTCCTGCGCCCTGCGAGGGCTGAACTCACAGCCCCAGCTCCCACCTGACCCCCTGCCGGCAACTCGCCCAGGCCACGACGGCTTCATCTAGCCCTGCTCTGCAGCTCCCCTGCCGGGAGGAACTAGACCCAGCTCAGCCCATCTTGAGCCAGCTGCCAGAAGCCAGCGAGGAGTTAAACAGCTTGCGAGGCTGGCGAAAAACAAACAGGCCTTAATGAAACCTTTATTTTTAAAATATGTTTTTTAATTTAAATGCAAATAGGGAGCTGCGCTATCTGCAGGCCGCCCGGGCTGACATGCTGGGTAATTAGCAGGGATGTCTCAGGCAGCAGAGGCTGCTAATGGGCCGGCACTTCCAGCGCATTTGTTTTAAGTTAATTACAAGTTTGCCAAAATGGGGATCAGTCTTGCTCTGCGAACTGGGCCCAGGTCCACCACGCACAGGCCCAGGGAGGGGGAACACTTGTGTCTGCTCCTGGGACGCCCCGTGGCAAGTCACGAATCGCGGCCCACTGCTCAGGACCCCGCGCCACTCGGGGAGAGGTGGCAAGACCTCCCCAAATACTCCGGGCCACAGAGAAGAGTGCCAGGGAGACATATGTAATGTGGGATTGCACTGTAGAAACAAAGAGCAGAGCGGGCTGGCAGGGCCGTCATACCAGCACCATCCATCTGTTGCGGGCAAGTGAATATCCACCCTTTGGCGACGGTGCCTGGAGGAAATCCGCCCGTGCTGAGCTAGAGGCCTGACTCACTGAAGCGAGAACAACGGTGTTCACGGAGGCTGGAATTTGCACCAGCGCTCGTATTAGCACGGCCGCGCGGGTCACGCGCCACAGGAAGCGACAGAGCCTGCCCGAGCAGGATGCGGCTCACTACAGCCAGGCTCACCCTGCTCCCCGCCAGCCGGCACGCGGGAGGGAAGGCTGAGGGGACCCGGCTGGGAGCTGGTACGTGGCAGCGGTGCCCGTGCCGTATTGCCGCCTGCCCATGACCTTCACGTCGATTTGGGTCTCGTTCATCGCCTTGACAGCAGTGATGGATGAGGCCTTGAAATGCTCTTGAGCATCTCCAAGCAGAGATGCACTCCATCTCTGCTCCATCCTCAGCAGAGCCAGCTGCATCCCCCGACATGCAGGCTCTTCCCGAGGAGGCCACTGGCCCCCTTCTCTGCGGGTCTTGCCCCATCGGGGCTCACGAGTGCAGGAAGGGCCCCAGCGCTGCTGTGCTACAGCAGACGGCTGAGCTGCCCGGACAGACCCCAGGTGCCCTGGGATACACCGAGGGCATCGGGGTTCCAGGACTGCCCGAGTCCAGCCGGGCTCAGGCCCGGAAGCAGTTGCCATGCCCTGGCCAACGTAGAGAGAGCTCATGGCCTCTCGCACCTACACAGGGGCCGATGCACAGCCACCAAACAGCCCTTCCAAGTGGAGCCAGCACTCGGCGCCTGGAAACGAGGCCGCTGCAATGCCATGAGCGCTCGTGTTGCAGATGCCCCATGCTTTCAGCCTGGGCATCGCTCGCTACCCTGAGAGGGTCCATCTCCCCGACATGGGGCCTCCCAGGCAGATTAAAGACCCCCTCTTCCAGGCTGCCCGGGTGCAGACTGGATGTGGGACAACCTCCATCTCCCATGGCCCCACCCAGAGGTACCTGCTCTGCCCAGGGAGCGGGCCCTGCCCCGCCAAGACTGTTACATTGGTGCAGACCGGGCTGTGGGCAGCTTTCCTGCCTCTCACGTCCACGCTGCGGAGCGCTACCGGAGCCCAGGCCAAGCCACCCCCACAGTGCGGATGGCATTAGTCTGCTCTGCTCCTCCTTTGCAAGCAGGGCTTGTATAGATTAAGGAGTCAGTCAATGCTGGAAACGGGCCCTTGCTGACCGGGGGCAAGTTTGTTCTGGAAGGGGATTTAATTGGGAGTTTAGCACAAGCAGCTGAGGCAGCACAGCCCCAAGGGCTGGATCGCTGCACGGCCAGCTCCAGCAAGATGGCCACACAGGTCGCCAAGGCAACAGATGCAGGGGAGGCACAGGGACACGTGCAAGTGAACAAGCTACAGCACAGCCCCTTCCCCAAAGGGAGAGATGCTACAGCTGTGGCAGGGGAGAAGGGACCAGCAAGGGGTCTCTGCAGGGAAGTGGTGGGAACGGTCCTGCAGGCCTGGGGTAAGAGAAGAGGATGCTCTGGGAAAGGCCTCATCCCAAGCCATGCACCGAGCAGAGAGCTGGCATGGTCATCCCACCCCTGCGCTGGATCCTAGGCCCAGGGCTGATTGCCGAAGGGAGCACAGCTGCCGGGTGCCAGGCAGAACCACCCCGTTCCTCCAGTCAGGCCTCAAACCAGTCACTCCTGGACGGGGCGTGTCCATGTCTGGGCCAGGCAACAAGCAGTTGAGCAAACTCGCCCTCCTCCTGCTCCGCTGCATCCTTTGGTCTGCTCCACTGGCCTCGCTGGACGCCTCCACGATGACCTGGCACAGGCGAGCCCGGAGCTGTGGGGAGATCAGTGCAGGCTGTAGGCACTGGGGAAAAGCAGCAACACTTCACCTCCCCAGGCCAAGCTGCAGGAGCCCTGCAAGGTACAGGTGATCTGGGGCCGGTCCAGATGCAAGCTGCCCGCTCCGCTCAGCCTCCGTTAAGCGCAGGTAAGTTGTGCACTTCTTCGCCGGGCAGCGAAGCCACAGCTTGGTTTCAGCCCGCGTGGTGCAGAAACAGGTGCCCGCACTCACCTCATCTGCCCTGGGCAGTCCTCCCACACCTGGGCCTGGCCAGCAACCCCTCGGGGTTCTGCATTAACAACCCCTTCGGACAAAGCCCCCGTGCTTTGGTCTTGCCAGGAGAAAGCGCCATGCTTTGCTGCCCGCTCCGAGCTGCAGCAGCAAGGCACATGCTTCTAGTGCCTCTCGCCAGGATCTAGAGGCACTTGCGGTCCTCAGCGCTGGGCACGGAGCCGAGGAGCCCCCAGCCAAGAGAAAGGGCACCATCAGTGCTGGTGCCACTGGACCTCCAACAGCGTGCAGAGCAGAGGGCCTTGGGCAGCAAGCTGTCAGGCTCTGGCCCCACTGTTGGCACACCTGCGCGTGCCAGGACCCATCCAGGCAAGTCCGTCTCTCTGCCGAGGGCTTGGGTCTCTGAGTGCGAGCTGCTGGCTTCTGCGCGTCTCCTGGATGCAGCCATCTGAACTGGTATGTGCACAGGGACAAGGAACATGCCCAGCGCGGGCCAAGTGCTGCACAGATGTGTGTGGGAGGGAGCAGAGCGCCCCAGCCCATGCACGAGGACGCAGGCAGGGACCGTTGTGCCGGGTGCAGTGGACAGCAGCACCCTTCGCAGGGTCCCCACAAGCCCGGCTGCAGGGAGCAACCCAGCAGGGCCGGGCAGCTGGAGCCCTCCCTGTCCCCTGGAGCGCGGCGGTGTTTGCCGCTTACAGGGACAGCAGCCCTCTGCCTTGCGGCAGAGAGCAGCTGTCGGCCTGCGAGGCAAATGCCACGTGAAGTGTCACTGGCTGGATGGGGAGCAAAGCAGGGGAACACGAGATGAACAGCAGCTCTAAGAGTCTGGACCTGTGCCTGGTGCTCTGCTGCTGCTGCCCAAAGCAGGCCTTAATTACCAACATGACGTGGTCCAACACTGCCACCTTCTCCCTGATGTAAAGTCCCAGGTCCTGGGCCTGGCCAGGTTTCACCCAGGGGGCAAGCCAGCAGCCCCAGAGGGGCTGGGGGGGACCCCACGTGTCCTGTGGAGACCCCACTTGTCCCTCCCCGCATGGCTGCACTATACAGAGGAGGAGCACAGATGGCCCCACCAAACTACTGGAGACCAGATGGCTGCAGCCCAGCAGACAGGGCATGGGCCTGGGGCTCGGGCTCCTGCCTCGGGGCAGGCCCGTGTCCTCCCCTCAGGGGGCATCCAGAGCAAATCATTTGCCTCGCGCGAAAGCCAGCAGACCCCAGTGGCCACGAAGGCCCGCGGTGCTTGACCCGGCTGGCCCCTCTCGAACACGCTGCCCTGGACACGTGCGTCACTGACCCCCCCACCCCTGGCGCTGCTGGGCTGCGACAGCCGTGCTCAGGCACCGTGCGCTTTCCAGGGTGAAGTCATCTGGTTTCGTGCATGTTCCCAGCTCGCAGCTGCAGGGTAAATGCCATAAAAATTAAGCTCTGGCTCTGCTTGCTCCGCGTGCTCCTGTTGGCCCCAGAACGAGCTGTGGTTTCGCTTGAACGGGCTGGTGGCTCTCCCCCAGCTTCCCGCCCTGCAGGCTGACAACCCCAGCTTGGGGCCAAGGCCCTGCCAGGCATGAAAGCAGCAGCCTCTTCCCCAGGAGGCAGGGCTGGCCCCAGCCCTCCCCACCCCCCAGTGCTTCACTTTCCCTTGCCTGGAGCACATGTGCCAAAGGGCACGGGTGCTAGGACCAGCCCCAGAGCACAGGCAAAGCTGTCCCCCAGGGCCAGAGACACCGGCAGGACTGCTCTGCAGCCAGGAGCTGCTCCAGCCACCCCACATCTAGGGCTGAACCCCCTTTGCCAGGTGGGAGAGACCTGGGGCAAGTGCTGCCAACCCCAGGCCCTGCGACCTCTGCAGGAGCATCACGTCAGAGAGGGGCGATCTGGGTGGGTGTGGTATTGCCACCCCGAGTCCCCCCAGGTCCAGCTTTCACCTCTTCCAGACGTCACTGCATTTGGACACGGCCCATCGGGCGTCAGGCGCTTCCTCCCCGCCTCGCTGTGTGTGGCGGCGCTGGACAAAGATGGATCCCTCCCTCGCACGCCCTTTCCCATCGCAGGCCCCGGCAGCGCGGGTGCCACATCTGCAGCATCGAGGCACCATCTAGGGGTCATCCTGCGCAGAGCAGCCTCCCTCTGGCAGGGCCACGCTGCAGTCGTGGCCTGCAGAGCTTCCTTAAACAGGCAACAAACTTCCCCACGGGGAAAACGAGACCAACTCCAGTGCCAAGGATGACATCTCCACTTGTAACGAAGCATCCAACTGTCCGACACCATGAAGGATTAGGGCAGGGAGGAGCGGGGCTGACCGCAAACCCCCAAGTGAAGGCATGTTGCTAGCCAAACCCTAGGGTGGACGCTGTTGTTTCCAGGCTTTCCTCTCTTCGATGCCCCAGTTTTTAAACTCCCCAACACCAGGCTGCAGTGTTAATGTTTAAATATGCCTGGGTAACTGAGACGATTACCTGTTCGCGACCATCATGGGCGGAGCCGTCTGTAACGGGCAAACAAGCCCGACTTTGCAGGGGCCAGCAATGGTATGTCCCAGCCCCACAGCTCCCTAACTCTGCCTAGCCCCTTCTTGACCCCATGAGGTGACCGGCCTCCACCACGTCCCGTAGCCAGGAGCTCCGCGTGCCAGTCACGCTCTGATCCCACGGCAGCTTGTTTGAGAAAGCCTTTAGGGAAGGACGGACTTGGTGGAAATCTTTGGGAAAATCCCAGCATGCTGCATTGACTGGAGCCTCCAAATACATAAAAACCGGCTGGGAAAGGGCTGCATGGATCAGCTGTGGTCTCATGACTCATTACTGCTCCGGTCATTAGCTTGTTCACCGCTGGCCACGTTCGTCTGTGCTGGTTCTTCACATTTCCCCTAAGCGGCGTGGGAGTCCCCTCAGCAGCCTCTGCAGCAAGGGATGCAAAGAATTCACCAAACGGCTGTGCCCCAGCCTGGTGTCGCCTGCTTTGCACCTATCCCACCTGCATCGTCCACGGGCCCCGCTGGCTCTGGCAGGCTTTGCGCTTCCCATGTGCTCAAAGCCACTGTTACGAGCTTCAACGAACATGTCCCTCGCAGGCCGGCAAGGGTGGGGTCCACAACCACGCTGGCCCCTGCAATGCGTTTGCTGCTCTCACTACAGGGAGAGCAGCAATGTGACTTTCTGCTGCCCCAGGGACGGTGCCACAACAGCGAACAGCAGAGCTGAGGGTCACAGCCCACACGCTCCACAAGCCACTGGGCCTGCGCCTTACGGAGGGGTAAGGGCCAGGTTCACTTGAGATCCCTGCAGTCACGCAGGGCATCACGAGCAGCCTGGTGAAGATCCTGGGGTCCCAACACCCAAGCCTCTGCTCTACAGCAGCAAGCAAAGAAACAAAGGGAGGCAGCAGCACAAAGCCACGAGCGGCCGTGCCAGAGGCGGCAGGAGGTTAGCTCTGGACTGGACTCGAGCCCAGGCTTGCTCTCCTTCTTAGCCCACCACAGGAGCTGCAGCAGACCAAGATCACACCCCTGGACTCTCCCCTCCCAGCCCAGACACACACACGTGGGTCTGCAGAAGGGAGTGCAGCCCAAACAGGAGCTGTGCAGAGCCTGCCTAGTGCCCAGAAGTGACCACAAGCACATGGCAAGGCTGCTGCCCAGCTGACCCCCCTCAGCTGCAGGCCCGATTAGACAGCTGGCTGCCAAGTGCAGGCCTGCCTGCTCCTGGAAAAGCACCATGCGGAGCACAGCATCTGGATGGTGCTTCTGCCAAGCTGGTCCCATGGGCAACCCCTGCTCCATGCTGTTGCAGCAGCTGAGGGAAAAGCAGGCCAAAGGTTGCCATGTACCAGGCTTCCCCAAACGGTCCTGTGCCAAGCACAGTGGCGGTTCATGCATGTGAACCCGAGCTCTAGGAAGTGAGGCTTTCCTCATGCAAGCTCTGCTGGTCTGCCCAGGCAGATGAGGACACTGTTATAAGCTGTGTGCTGACCTGTGTAGGGTAGGCAAGGCAGAGCAGAGCACCGGGTCGTACTAGAGCCCCGGCACAACAACCACCCCAGGAAGACATCCCAGAGAGGGGATGGCTAACCATGAGCTACCAACAGGCAACTATGCAAAGACTATTGAGACAGCAACCAGGCAAGGGAACAGGCAGCAACAAGCAACTTACTTTCATCCTTGGGGAGGAGCATAGCAAGGTGGTGACCCGGCCCATGACATGGCCCTGCAGCAAGGAACTAGAGCCTGCTCCTGGAGCCAGCAGTCTGCTCCAGCCTGGGCCAACGGCGCTAGCTCAGCTCAGCACACCGAGTCACCACGGAGAAGAAGCCACTTCTGGTCACAAGCGAGCGGGGCTGGGGGAAGAGCTGAAGCAGAGCCGACTCTGCGTATGCCTGGCCCGGTGCTGCAGCAGGGGGGCCGAAGTTCCCACACGCGTCCAGGAAAAAGCATAAGGTGCTTCCTACTCAGCCTGCTGCAAAGCGATGACTGATAGGCTGACATTTCCTCCCCTCAGCAGAAGCACTCTTACCCTGGGAGACCAAAAAGATCAATGGTTTGACTCAGGAAGAGATTTGCTTTTCTAGAGGGAAGGCAGAGGCATGGATGGATGATTCACCACGTGCCACAAAAGTTGAAGATGGACTATGCACGTGCGCTGGGAGGCTGCAGGCCTTCAGACACCAGCTTCTCCTTTCGTAGCATCGCGCCCTGTTGAAACCTGGTTATGGAGGGCTGCTGCTATCACTGGAGGCCCAGCGTGCACAGGCCATCAGATGGCCAACTTCAGCCACCTCCATGCTGCCTGAGGGTCCTTCCAGGGACTAATCCTACATGCACAGAGCAAAAACCTGCAAAGCATTGCACGTACTGTTAGTTCTTCTCAGAGGGCTTGTCAAGCTTGCCTAGTGACAACCGTGGATAATGGGGTGCATGGATGTACTTGGGGGTTTCACAGGTTTAGCTACAGTGGACTAAATTTGGACCTGATCTTCCAACTCTGGATACCCACTACAGACGGTGCCACTACAGGAGCAGCTGTGAGCGTACCGCTGGTTCCCTCTCGCCCCCATGCTATCGAGGGGTTTTTCTTTGACAATTGACTCAAGTTTTGAGGAATGCATTTCTTGAGTTGTCTGCTTTCTTGTACTTGAGCAAAGAAAGATTAGCCTGGAATGGACTGCAGCAGTGTCAGCTTAGAGCAAATACTTTGCCCTCTTCCAATGGATAAATGAAGCCCTGCTTTGCATCTAAGAGGCCAGGTCATCGCAGTGCATATTAATCTGTGTTTATAAAGAAATGAGGAATACTAGGGCATTGCAATACATGGCACTGCTCAGTTAGTGAGGACTTGAATGGTTTTACAGAGCTCCTGCGCCCTCTCTCAACCCGCTGATTATCTCCTATTAGCTGTTTAAAGACACCTTGTTGTCTGCATTCTCCCAAGAGCCACTTGAAGCAGAGCAACTGCTCAGCTAGCCCTGCAGTGCTCACGCATGCTTCATTAGCCGTTTGTACGCAGGCCACCCACCACTTGCAAGTCAAGACTTTCCAAACCCTCTGACCCGTCTCAGATCCGAAGGGGGGTGTGTGGTCAGCGAGAAGCGGGATTATCAGGCAGGAACTCAGACTCCCCGATAGGTGAGGGCTGCATCCGTCCCACAACAGGGCTCAGTCCTGGGCAGCTCTCTCTCCAAGCAGGCACATGAGCCAGCCAACCCCCTTACTCAAGGAAGAGAAAGGATGGATGTTACCAAGCACCCAGTCCCCTTCTAGCCGCATTTCCAGGGTTACTTTGAGAGGAGAGCCAGCTCCTCCACCACCCGACTGGAAAGGACTGACCAGCTTCGCTACATTTTTCCCCTAGGGAAAAAAACTTACAAACATTTCCTGTTTAAGCGTTCAATGTCCTGCATGCTATGGAAGCCACACCGGAGGTTCACAAGGTACGTCGTGTTTTATTGAATGAAGGTATATTACAGTAGACAAATGTATGTTACACATGCTATACAAAATATACATTCTTAAGTGAGAAAAATATAAATAGAGACTAGGAAAGGGGAAAGCTTTGCTCACACTGTTGTAGGTACTCCCAGTACCAGAGCTGCTACTGCTTTGACATTGCTTGACGACGACAGGTACGTTTATGCAAAACAGACTATCCACTCTGCGCAAGTTGGGGCTCCTGGAAAACAGCCGGGGGAACATTTTTGCAGAACAACTTTCCTCCAGTGTGAACGTCTAGGAGCCGTTTCTCTTAACGCTGCGGATGGGAAGTTAGCCTGGTTCTCGCAATGCGAATAAGGCACATTCCCACTTAGCTCACCTTTTTAGTGGTGAAGGCTGTTTACAGCCAGCTGAGAACCACTATAAAAGGGAGATGCTGTTGTTCACACAATGACAATAAATCTGCTCTGGCGCAGGTAGGACAAGTTCCCTGACAAGCCCTGGTCCCAATTCTGCTCATCGTACCAGGAGACGCTGCTTCTGACCTCTTCTGCCCATTCCTGCATGTTTGCAATCACGGAGCAATTGCAAACAGAGAAGCCTGGACAGCACTGATTTATGCTCCATACAAGGGACAGGAGGGAAAGTCATTAAGCGTTTGCCAAACCGACAGAGAGGACAAAGCACAACAGGATTATTTTCCTGCTGGCAAGACGTCGTGGCTTTCAGTGTGCCACGGATCAACTAGGCCACGCTGACCTTTACCATGTATGACCAAAGCAGGCAGGAAGCCTGGAATGAGGCAAGTTTTCCATTAGAGCAATTCCATGACCTGACATTTCTGCTATGAATTTAGCCTAATAGATATCAGCAGGCTTCTGCAGAACAGAGATAGGCTTGCATCTAAAAAGTGACGGTGTCTTCTTTGCTAGTGTTCAGAGAGAAAGCCTACTGTAAATGTATTCCAAGCCACAGAAAGAGACTTCAGTTTACTTTCCCTTTAAGCTGTAGCGACTATATTAAGTGCAATACCCTAGAAGTATTGAAAACCTCACAGTACCGTGGGGCTACAATTTTGGCGCTCGGTTTCACTTAATCAGAAGCTCGGGAACAATTCTGGAC